AAAACAAATTATATCATAGAACCCAATGAAATAAGACCATGTAAGTCGGGAAAAGAAAGCTAAGAATAAAAGTTATAAGATAAAGAGAGTTAAAAATATATATGGGTACATCAAAATGTGCTTTTGTCACATATCTACACATAGTTTCACTTAAAACCTATGAATTTGAGCATACAATAAAACCAAAACACAAGCAACCCCACCTACAAAAACCCTAGAGTCCCCCACTTGTGCTCAACCATGTGAACACATTAGCAAATTAGAAATACAAATCAAGTGGGCCACCACCCCTTCCTTATCTAAGCACCATTCTTCACTCTATTGTCCCCCTTTGCTCCCAAAAGCCCAAACCCAAACCTAAACAGGAATCTCTACCAAGGACTTCACCCCCACTCTCGATCCCCGTGCGTGATCTCATCTGCCTCTGCAAGTCAAAAAAACTAGGGAGTTTCATTAAAACATCCAAAATGGGGGCTGAAATTATAAAAAAACCCAACATCCAAAACACTTTATAAACACACCAAAAATCCATCATTACACACACTCAAAATCCATTTATAAACACACCCAAAAAATATACAATTGTTGATTTTAGAGTTGATTTTGGGTGTGTTTTTATGTTTAAATAGTGTTTGGATTTTTTTATAAATACATGTCTAGAATTGGGTTTATTTATAAATTTGTAAAAAAACTATACAGTTACACGCGTACAAAAGGCGCGTGGGGGTAATAAAAGGGTCAAGATCAAAGGGGAGGGCCCAAATGACTAAAGGCGTCGCTTTTGCAGAAGGCCCCTCGACTTTTACGCGGGTGCTGCCTCTGCGCTCTCTGCCTCTCTCAGCCTTTCATCGTACTTTTGTCACGTCAATCATCTGCACGCGCCCCGACCTCTGCCTCCCTCCCCACCGTACGCGTGTCGCTGAGGAAGGGCTATTTCCGTCATTTTCGGATAAGTTACCTCCCACCAGCCAGCTGCAACAGTCCATAGGCGCAGGTCAGAAAATTTTCTCCCTCTTTGCTTTTCTTCTTCGTTGCAGGCAGGGGTACTTACTCATTTATCATATCCCGAGATGCGGTGGAACACGTGGCGGGAGATGTGTGGTGGATAGGACCCACTTAGGAACTGGATCGGTCTTTGTCCGTGCAGAGGCTTGTCGGCTACTTATATAAGATAAAAGGTTATGTTGATCGTACGGCCAGGATTCATGAATGGGCCAAAACTGAGTCGAAGCGTCAGAGGCCGACCCAGAGCTATAAATCGCGGGATGAGACGGATAACTGGCAAACACCAAACTACCCAATCTCTACTTTTTTTCTTTTAATATTATAATCACACCTTATTATTTATTTTTTTAAAAAAAAGAAAAATCTGCAAATTTTTGCTTCCCAAAGAAAAAAGGATTCTAAAGTACTATAGTCAGACTTCGAATGCAAGATAATTACTTTTAATTATTTGAATTACAAGCTCTATAATTTATGTAATTTATTTTTAGAATAGAATTTTGATACTATTTGATTGACGGAAGAAAATCGAGTTGTGATTCACAATGCATTGGAACATCTAGCTTCTGTTTAGCTCGAAATCTCGTTGATATGGTGGAATTTCCCATTACTGTAGACGGGCTTTAAACTGTGCCCAAATCCATATATATGCAAGAGATACGAACATTTTTGCAGGCCCAGCCCTATGAGCCCAAATCATAAAACAGTAAAAATAGAAGTATGATCATGGCTCGTCTCCTTAAAATTGAGGAGGAGCTCCTCCTTACAATCATGTGCGTCCACCAGTTCCATTTAGGTCTTCAGTCAAAGATATAAAAAATAGTAACGATAAAATATTTGATTATTAACAGATAGAAACCCAACATACCTAAACAAAATTTCTTAGGTTGTTTAAATCCAGCTCTGATCAGCGCCTATAGTTTTATAATTTGAGCTGTACTGCCATTAAGTCAACATGAGGTTGGAGACTTAATGAAGACAAAACTTTCAACATCATGCAATTTGAGGTTGATTATTATGAAAGATTTACCAAAACAAACTACACAAACTCATGTCTGGGTTTTCTGCAGGGCTGCAACCCAGCTTTTGTTGAAGAGAAAATAAATAACCAGACATATATAATTGCATTCATCAATCTGACTCAATTCTGCAAACTTGTTGCTCAAGAAATCAATTATACACTTCAAAAATATAGCCAGAGCTGACAAAGAGATTCTCTCACCCATCCTTTTGATTGTTTGACTTTGACTTCAAGTCTTTTTTGGTGTCTGACCTCAAGTCATGGCAACACAGGATGAGCACCATGATCATGGAGGAAACAAACATGGGTATAGGCCCAAAAAACCATAGCAGAAAATTGAGAGCAAAATACAGTGCTCTGAGCCCAAGTGACCAAAACTCACTTCCCCTTTGAACTGCATTTTCCACTTTTTTCTCTCTGTCCTGTTTTTCCAAATCTGATAGATCTGGAGTGCTTAGTAGGTAGTTTGAATGGACAAAGTGCCTGGTTGATTGAACAAAGAATGAGAAAGCAAAGAGAAAGCTTGACAAGAGGCATATGTACTTGATAGAAATAATTGATGGGCTTGTGTTGCCGTATATAATTTCTCTTGGGATGAAGTTGTCTCTGGAGTTTGCCATCCAAGTTCCAATGAGAGAGCAGAGAGTCAAGGAGATTGTGGCTAAGTACATAGTTGCACTTGTGTTGGAGGCAATCACACCAAGGCCTCTGCTAACATTCTTTCTGACTATATCATCATTATCACCCTGCAGCCAGCTTACAACAACAGTATCAGCAAAATAAATTAAATTGAATTGGGATCAACAAAATTGGGCAATTAAAGAAAATATGATACTTGACTGACCTTCAAAATTTTCTCAACCCAAACTTTTTTGTCATTGATTTCATATCCCATGGACGTGTATTTAGGGTATTTTCTGTATGTGAAAAGAAGGAAGAGGTGGTAGAATAACATGATTAGCAGCCCACTTGGAACCAACACCACATCAAGGTACTCATGAAGAAAATCCATGGTCTCCTATGGTCTCTTGCTGCTGCTGCTCAAAATGGCAATGGAGTTGCAGGGATTTTATAAAGGAGCAGTCCATTGTAGTTGGATTTGTTTAAACCTAGGCTTGACTTTGTGCAACGTCGGAGCCAGTTGATGCCTTTGGGAAGTGGTCATCTTTTGAGCTAAACTAATTAATAATTCATGCAAGGAGATGGTAGTCATAAGGCCAATTAATTAAACAAAATTGATTTTATAGTTTCTTTATCTTTTCCACATATTTGATTACCATTCTAAATTGTTGGTTGCAATATAAGATAATATAAATACTGCAAAATATAGTATTGCAGCCTAGCTTCATTCATGAATGCCAGGTGGGAATGCTCTATGCCTCCTGTTCATGTCTCTAGTTTTATGGAATAAAGGAACCCACAGAGAATATTCAACATATGGGAGTCTAGTTTTAGCTTAAAGATTACCAGTTGCTTTCATTTTTGGCAACAGCTTTCACTGTCAACTGGCTGCATATGAATTGGAAATTGAAAGCAAGTTCAAATTTGCAGCAAGTCAAAGCATACGCTCTTTAAACAAATCCGAAAACAATCCCAAGAATCATAGGCAGTACAGGAGAGCTCCATTATAAACAGAACAAGACCTCCTTACTGCATTGTCCTCTGCAGCACCAAGAGATAGGAAACTATGGATTTTAAGAACTTTCAGAAGGAGTATCTGGATATGGTGTTGGTACCAAGTGGGCTACTGATCATGCTAATTTACCACCTCTTCCTCCTCTATAAGTACCTCAAACATCCTCTCTCCACAGCCATGGGCTATGAAAACAAGGACAAAAAAGCTTGGGTTGGAAAAATTCTTCAGGTAAAGTTCCATATCTATTTTTTTTCTTCAAGTTCCTGATCAAACAAACTTGTTGATCCCAATTTTCTTACTGTGTTGGTGGCTACAGGGTCAAGATAGTGCTACAGCTGTCACTGTGATTTCCACCAATACAACTGCAACTATTTACTTGGCAACAATCTCTTTAACTCTTTGTTCTCTCATTGGAGCTTGGATGGCAAAATCCACCAACAATTTCTTCCCAAGAGAAATAATATATGGCAACACAAGCCCATCCATTATTTCTATCAAGTATATTTGCCTCTTGACCTGTTTTCTCCTGGCTTTTTCATTCTTTGTTCAATCAGCCAGGCACCTTGTCCATTCAAACTACCTGCTAAGCACTCCAGGAGCTACTTCTAAAGCTGATGTGAGAAAAGCTAAGAGGGCGGTTGAAAGGGGAAGTGAATTTTGGTCACTGGGGCTTAGAGCACTATACTTTGCTCTTAATTTTCTGCTATGGTTTTTTGGACCTGTGCCCATGTTCGTTTCGTCTGTCACAACAGTCGTGATGCTATCTTGCCACGACTTCAAGAGGTCAGATAATAATCAAAAGTGGCCTGCCTCAGCTGTGGCTGTAAATGAAAGTGCATTATTAATTTCTTGAGCCTCAAGTTTGTAGAATTGGATCAAATTCCATTGAACATAAATGCAATTAACTTCCAGTTTTTTATGTGCTCTGCAACATAGCCTTTGTTTGCTTTTCTTTTTGGGTTTAATCTCAAGGTTACATGAAGTCCTGGAATTGAAAAACTTGAGGTGTACTTGTACAACTGCCAGTCAATGTGCGTTTATACGGGCGGTTTGGCAGGATGTTTTATAAAGCAAGTTACACACACACGCATGTGTTTGCTTTACAATTCTGAAAAAATAATTCTATTTGGTCAACTCAATCAACCAATTATGTCAATCCTATTGCCTTCAAATATAATATAGAAAGCTACAACTTATTTTTTCCGTAGATAGAATATTCAACCACGATTCAGGTTAGGTGAAATTCCGACTGTTAGTTCATAGATTGTAGACATCTACTAGTACCATCCAATCAATATAAAATTCAATTTAGAAATCAAATTTTGGACCATAGACTGAAAAAAGTGAAGTTAATCTTCTAATTTCTGGCCTTTGAAACTTTATTACATTCGTTTTTTTCAATCAAATTACCTTTCTCTACGCTATCTACTATCCAACAACTCCAAATTAACACGCATACGTAATTGCATTTACAATTTCACATAAAAAAAATTTGGTGCTTCCAATCCAATAAATTAATAATTAGACAGTAGCTTCAACTGCTTCTGTATGCTGATGAATGTTCACAGCCACCTCTGTGATTCTCTGACCAACCTTTTTAACCAGCTGCCTTCCCGGAAGCTGGTGGTCGTGCAAAGGTCTGGTGTTTTTGTCCATGTAATGGAGGAGTATGACCAAAACGATGGAGGACAGAAACATTGGTATTGGACCAAAAAACCACAGAAGCAGAGTTAGAGCAAAATAGAGTGCTCTAAGCCCAAGTGACCAGAAATCACCTCCTCTTATAACTGCCAGCTCCACGTACCAAGCCGGAATATTACTGTCTGGTGTGCTTATCAGATAGTTTGCATGAACAAAGTGCCTTGCTGATTGAACAAAGCATGCAAAGGCTAGAAGAAAACAAGTTAAGAGGCTTATGTACTTGATGGTAAGGATTGAGGGGCTCACGTTGCCGTAGATTAATTCGCTCGTAAAGACGTCATTGCTGGAATTACTTCCAAGCCAAGCTCCAATGAGAGAACTGAGAGTTAAGGAGATGGAACACAAAAAAGTTGCTGCTGATATGTTGGATGAAATCACATTGAGGGCTGTGCCGATGTCTCTTTTATCAACCTGCAAATGAAGGTATAGGTAGAGGAGATCAATTTAAGCTCTCTTGGGCTAAAATTTGTTACAGAATTAAAGCTATCATTGGAAAGAGAGAGAGAGAGAGAGAGAAAGAGGAAGAAGAGTTTCCAGTTACCTGCATAATTCTTTCAACCCAAGCTCTTTTGTCATTGTTCTCAAAGCCAATGACTGTGGTGTGAGGGAGATGAAGATATCTGTAGAGAAGGAAGATGTGATAGACAAACATGATCAGCAATCCACTTGGGACCAACACCAAATCAAGGTCCTCCTTTCCAAAAGCCATAACTTTCCTTGCTGATTTGCTAACTGATAAAAGAATGAAGATGGGAGATCTAATTTGTTACTGGAATTTTATGGTTGGAAGGACGCCTTAATTTCTATGCATCTGTTGAAGGGACCTTTGACTTCAAATGGGGCTGCTAGCACAAACAAGTTGCATTATTTTTTAGCTCAACCACGGTTTAGAACACTTCAAAAGAAAAAACAAGGATTGTCTAGAAGTGTGTTAATTTATTGAGCAAGTACTAATTATGAGGGCTCACTTTTTCTTTTGGGGAATATTAATATTACAGGATTGTCTGTTTATGGATGTCCGATTGATGTACTACAGCCGTAGGTATTAGATTAAGCACTCAAACAATAGAACATAGAAGAATATAAGAGATCGAGGAGACAAAAATATAGATTGAAGGGACAAAAGAAAGGACTGAAATCAGAGAACCGAGAAGGAAGGACAGAAATGACAGTTTTAAGAGAAGGTTTGCTCAATATCCAAATCTGAATTTTAAAAAACTACGTGGGGTTATTTATAGCAAAACTAAAACCTAGACATAATAGGATAAAAATCCCTTGCTTAAACAAAAATCCTAACCCAAATAAAATAGGAAACTTAAAACTAGAAATCTGGAAATTTGGAGAAGTAGAAATCCTAATAGAATTTGGAAAACTAGAAATTTGGAGAAGTAGAAATCCCACTGGAATTTGGAAAACTAGAGAATTTAAGAAACTAATAAATTTAGGTCCTACATGTCATGCATCACCTATCCTTATAGAACCAAGTTCAATTTTTCCTCTCTTACTGGATTGGTTACTTTGTGGTCTTTGTTTCTCATTTCCTTAGTACTTTTCTGCTTTGCTGGCATCCCAGACTTTGGCAAGAATGTTAGGCATGTCCCATTTGTTTAATGTGAAAATGAACAAATAATAAAAGTCTCATTAACAGTATAAACCAATAATTAATCAAAATTCTATCTATAAAAACAAAGAATTATTGAATAGCAGCCACACATCGGTGACTTATTGGATGATCATGTAACTTGTAAGGACTTGATATGATCACCATTTCAAAGATTGACATTTCAGGATTAGGACTTTCTTACGGGTAAAAGAGATTAGCCATTAATAATCATGATATGCAAATGTGATTTAATTTATTCAGGAGCCACATAAATCTTGCAATACATGATTGTTTCTAAGGATAGACTTCAATAAGGGACCTCAAACCAAATATTGGTGTTAACTTGTAGTTGCTGAAGCCAGCCTCAAGGAAGAGTTTTTTCCAATCCTTCTCGCTTCTCTCTCTTCCAGTAACCACAACCATCATCAGCAGGTCAAAAAAGAGCTTTGCTTCTGTTATTTCGTGCTCATCTTTCGTATCGTCTATCACTATGTCTATGATGATGACCTTCCCTTGACCATTGCCTGGAATGGCTTCTCTGCATTTCTTCAGAACCTTCAAGCATTCCTCATCGCTCAAAGCATGTAAAGTCAGCTGCCAAATTACTCAATTTTGACATCAGATTTCGAAAACCATGCAGTTGCTAAAAGTACATAGAGGCCAAAACAGAACATCACTGAAAAGTGAAATTTGCATACCTTGAGTAAAATAGCATCGGCTGGAGGGATGGCCTGGAACATATCACCTCCAATGAACTTCAAATTCTCAGTGTCTGCCAAATTAGCAACAACCTGTGGAAGTTCAAGAACGGTGCATTTCAAGTGAGGGAAGGCCTCACAAAGGATCCTAGCAACTTTGCCTGTACCACCCCCTACATCAACTAATGAACTCAACCCTTCAAAGATTGGCTTGCAATCTTCAATGACCAAGTTCATCATTCCAGAATCACTAGTCATTGCCTCGTTGAAATGACTGTTGAACTCCTGGTTTTGGTCTCCATATTCCCAAAATCCCATCCCATGTGCACTCTCAAATGGGGTTAGCTCGTTCCCTCGGAACCAATTTCCCAAGAACTGCCATGGGGTTGCAAGGGCCGGATCGAGCATCGCCAAAACAAAAGGTGACAAGCTGGGAAGTTGAATATGTGTTTGTACAAATGAGACTGAGCTTGAAACAAGTCTCTTGCTTCATCACCATCCATAATTCTTCTGCAAATTATTTTGCTACTAACAAACCAGTCCTGCTTATATCACTCTTAAGAACAAATGATTTCATGAATTACTCATACGAAGATAAAAGTCAAACTCAGCAAAGCCTTATAATCAGATACCCTAAAGATAAGGATAAATTTCCATCTGTCCTGGAAGCAAAAAGGCAGGACTTTTGAGGACGAAAAAGGACAAAAGGGCTTGTTGAATTTTAAGCTCACATGTCAATTCTTGGCATTTGGAGTGATTTTGATTTCAAATAAAGCTGTGGAAATGTCAACTCTTAACATGGGTACAGATGAGGGTAAAACGAAGCGCTTTATATGTAACATGGGCTTCTTTAAAAACTCATAGAATTGAAATAAAGGCGCTGAATTTCATTAACGTAGATGTTAACATTACAAGATTTCAGATTCTTAACTACAATTCTACCCCTACCCAAAGAACACAAAAGAGCAAAAGAAAAAAAAAAAGCCTTTCATCTAGAACACACCATACCCAACACAAGTCCTTCTCTGTACTAAAAACCCATCACAAACCTAAGCCCTCTCTCCCCTAATGCGCCTAGCGAGCTGAATATCCTTGGGCATGATGGTGACCCTCTTGGCATGGATCGCGCACAGGTTGGTGTCTTCGAAGAGACCAACGAGGTAGGCCTCAGCAGCCTCCTGAAGAGCAGCCACAGCAGAGCTCTGGAACCTCAGGTCGGTCTTGAAATCCTGAGCGATTTCACGGACCAAACGCTGAAATGGGAGCTTCCGGATGAGGAGCTCAGTGCTCTTCTGGTACTTTCGGATCTCACGGAGAGCCACGGTTCCGGGCCTGAACCTGTGTGGCTTCTTCACTCCACCGGTGGCCGGAGCAGACTTACGAGCTGCCTTGGTGGCCAGCTGCTTGCGAGGAGCTTTTCCTCCGGTGGACTTGCGGGCGGTTTGCTTGGTACGAGCCATTGATGAATTGAATGGAAGATCGAGAGACGATTAGGGTTGCAGAGAATTGGGGATGCCGATTGAATTCGGAGCGGAGTGAGTATGAAATTGGGTATGGAGGGTTTTATACAAGTCAGTGTGTTAAAAATGGAGATTGGAGAGGACTAATCGTGGCTGTTGATTCATTTTGCGTTATCGACGGCTGTGCTTGGTTTTGTGGGCTACTTTAGTTGCGGATCGATGACGTGGAAGGTTTTTGGGTTGTGTCTGAGCGCGAGTTTGAAATTTATGGCGCGGATGTAGAAGAGACTACAGCCGCTGATTCCGTGGTAATCAACGAGTGTAGTTGGTTTAGTGTTTCGGGTGGTACGGCCACGGATCGAGGATCGGTGACGTGGCTACATTGCTGTATTTGGGAGTTTGGGCTGCTCAGTGACTGGGCTTTAATATCTTATTGACTCTCTTCTGTTTTGCAGTTTGAAGTTACGGAAAAGTTATAATGAGGGCTTAAAGTGAGGAGGTTATTTGAGGAGGTCAAATCTCACCATTAATAAATGTAAAGAAATCATGGGACTTAAATATTTTAAATGTTTTGACGGTCGGATCGGTCTCCTCAAATAACCTCCTCACGTTAACTCCTCATTGTAGAAGTTCCCTTGAAGTTATGGTCTTAGAGCACTTCCATTGGCAAGGGGAGCCTTATGGCGGTTACTATTTATGTGAATAGTAGCTGCTCTAGCACAAAAAAAAAAAAAAAAATGTGTTTCCAGCAGTGCAAGGCTTGCCATAGCAAATACTATTTATTTTTATTTTTTTTCACAACTTTGTTTACTTAAACAATTAATTTGGATAATATTTTCGGATAAGATTTTTGGGTTTCTACGTGTCAATACTATTCATATCGGATCAGATTTTCGGTTTCAAATTTCAAATTTCAAATTTCATGTGAATTTCAAATTTCAGATAAGATTTTCACCCTCTAAAAACAACTTGAAAGAGAAAAAAAAACAACTTGAAAGTGAAAAAAAAAATTGAGTAGAAAGTGAAAAATAGTAGAATGAGAAGAAAATGTATGAGGAGTTGGTATTAAAAGTGAAGAGTATTGGTTGGTATTTATAGAAAAAAAAAATTCAGTATTTTTTAAAATTGTTTTCGATTTTTTTTTATTGGGTAAAAAATTGTCTGCCGTTGGATTGCTGAAAAAAAAGGATTGGAGAGCCCAGGAGCTTCCACGTGGCAGAGAGCCATTAAGGGTTGCTTTTTCGATTTTTTTATTCGCGAAAAAATGGCTGCCGTTGGATATGTTTAAAAAGCTGATCGGATGGCCCAGCAGATGACACGTGGAAAAGAGCCGTTGGGCGGTCACTGTAGTGGCGCGTCAAATTTTTTTTTAAAGTTGGCGCGTGTATTGCACGCGCCAGCTTTTAAAAAATTTAAACCCCTGCGCTGATGTCATCGTGATATCAGCGCGATGACATCAGCATAGCCTGCGGGCTAGCGCTTGGGCCAGCCCAGGTATGTGGGCCCCACTGCTTGCCCTGGCAGCTTCTTGTTGCTGGAAATCACATTTTGGGTTTGTCTCCCCCAACCCTCCCCTTGGGCCCATTGCTGCCAATACTCTTAAAGCATCTTTAAGGGAGATATCAAATACCAAACATCAAATTTAAATTTGATGACTAATGTGGCAATTTGACATTTACACAGTATAACGGGGATAGGTTTAGAGCACGTCCAGCTGTAGCTGTGGCTCGAGTAGGAGGGGGCCCAAGCCCCAGTTCAATGTTCCAGCAAGCAAATGCAACCTGGGAAGCTGGTGGGCTCCACAAGCCTGGGCTGGCCCAAAGGCAAGAACAGCCTGGGTTTGCTAACGTCATAAACGAAATTTTTTTTAAAAAATGGAAAAAAAAAAACTAAAAATTTTATATTTTAAAAAAAAAAATTAATCATATTTTTCACTTCCGACACCAAAACTCTATACAAATTCATTTCCTCATATTTCATGTAAATAATGGTTACCTTTGAGTTGCCATGACAATGGGTGGAAACACCATAAGTCTTTTTGCAAGGGTTGCCACTATTCACATGAATAGTAACAGCCCTTACCTTGCCCTTACCCTTTGCCATGGCAAATGGGTAGAAGTGCTCTTAGGGTTTAGCGCTATTTTGCGATTCCCACTAATCACACTATGACACATGTGATAAATTTTTAGGAAAATTAGGTATTAGACATAATTAAGTTTACTAATTAGGAAGTGAGATATTAGGTATTTTAGTTTGGGTTTTAATACTCAATAAAAAATAGCTATTTTAGATTAGGCCCAAGGATGGCCCAGATTCGTTGGGCCAGCTTTAAAATGTCAAATAAAAAGACAATTCTACCCTTTTCTCTTAAAAAGCCTGGCCCATCTGTAAACCTACAAATTAAATGACGCTTTTGCCTCTCAACGTTTAAACGACGCGCGAGTTCTTCTCTTTCGTTCGTTTTCTTCTTCGTTTCAGAGCTGGGTTCTGCCATTGGAGCTCAATTTTCTTGTAGGTTTTGCTTTTATTTTCTTCGTTTTTCTATCTTCTTTTTTCTGCTACGTTTTCGTTCGATTTTCATGCTGAATGACTGTCAGTTTTGGGTGATTTCTGTTCTCTTTAGTTCGGGTATTTCGAGCTCAGTTTTGTGGCTCGATTTTGCGGCGCGATCTTGTGGCGTTCAATGCTAAACCCTATATTCTTCGTTTCGTGATCAGATTTGATTTTAAGCTGCTGTTTGGTTGTGGAGATTTTTGGCAGTCCTAAGTTTTGAGGTATGAGTACTTTAGAACCTGTTTTCGATTATGTCGACTTGTATGTTTATGGAATTTAGTTTTAGTACTTTTATCGTGGTTTCCTTTTGGTTTCTATTCGAATTGTTTTGATTTTCTGTCATAAACTACATCTGTCTGCAGTTTCTTGTTCGAGACCAGAAACTGCAGTGCAGTTTCTTGTTCGATAATTCAATTTCAGAATAATTTTTGCAAGTATATTGGAATGTTACAACTGCTGACCTACTTAAATGTGATTTGATATTAGTTTTAGTACTTTGATTATGCCTTTACCTTTTGAGCAGCAGTGCAGATTTTGACCAGAAACTGCAGTGCAGTTTCTTGTTCGAGACCAGAAACTGCAGCGCAGTTTCTTGTTCGATA